GTATGAATGATTGTTACATTGTATCACACTGAGATCTCTAGCTGAATTATTGTTACATTGTATCACACTGAGATCTCTGTATGAGTTATTGTTACATTGTGTCCTTTCTCCATTGAGAAGAGGCTATGACATCATCACCATGTATAAATACAAAAACTGTCAATATAGTGAACTTTGTGCAAAGTTTTTCACTTTAAAGGGTTTCTAAGCCCTCAGCTTTTTTGGCATATATATAGATGGCTGGCAAGCAGTAGATGCAAAAAGGTTTGTTTTTTTTTTAAAACGCTTTAACAGCGGTTTACACTTACCTGTGTGTTCCCCGCGCGCTACCGTCCGAAAATGTGAAACTGCACGGGCGGCCGCAAAGCATATTGGGGCGGGCGCATGCACAGTTCACATTTTCGGCCGGGACGCGAGGGAGGAGAAACACAAGGTAAGTCTATGGACGCGTGCACGCACATGCAGACACCGTGGGACAGGAAGTGCCAGCAAGCTCAGAGGAGTCAGCGCTGGATCGGAGATTCGCCGCAGCGCTGGAAAGAAGGCTGAAGACTACAGGAAAGAAGAAGGTGACCGGATTGAAAGACATCATTTAAGGTAAGTGCTTTCATTAACGTTGGGGTGAGGGACAAAAAACTTTTGCCTTTAATGTCACTTTAAGGTCATTGCAAAGGACAAGGGGAACTCTTTGCATCTGGAGGAAAAGAGATTTCGTTCGGCTGTACAGCAGTGGAATTACCTTTTGAAAGAAATTGTTTTCTGAACGTCGATTTTCTAATAGTTAATAATATCAAATTGAATATCAGTTTCACACGGAGTAAAAATCAATGACGCAGGATGGAAATTTATTCTAAAATCATGTAAATTCCAACACTGATTGTGATTCTTCTCACAGAGATTTAATTTCTTTGTAAAAAAATATATATTCACTCCATTTCTGGGGCCTCATAGTATGAGAAAAGTGGTGTGTGCAGTGGCCGAACTACCAGGGTCGCAGAGGTCGCGACCGGGCCCTGGAGTTCCGCCACTTGGAGGGGGCCCAGGACAGGAGGAAGGGGCCCCTGGTGACTGCTGATTACCAGTCCCGGGACCTCTTCCTCCCGTCCTGGGCCCTACATGCTTCACGCTGCTCCCCTCGCCTTGTTCCGGGCGCAGCGTGAAGCATCATCCAGCCGGGCAGCAGCCAATGAGTTGGAGCGGTGTAATCCCCGCCCCCCTCATTACACAGAACTGCTGCCCAGTGCCGAATAGAGCTGCTGCGGACACGAAGGGGGAGACAGGGAGCTGGAAGCATGAAGGAAGGTGACATGGGGTCCGGGAGCGGAAAGCTGGGGACATGAAGGGGGAGATAATGGGGAGCTGGGGACATGAAGGGGGAGATAATGGGGAGCTGGGGACATGAAGGGGGAGATGAGGGGGAGCTGGGGACATGAAGGGGGAGATGAGGGGAAGCTGGGGACATGAAGGGGGAGATAATGGGGAGCTGGGGACATGAAGGGGGAGATAATGGGGAGCTGGGGACATGAAACCTGGGACATGGAACCTTCATGGATTCTTGCATCGGGCCCTGAGGTCACTAGTTACGCCACTGGGTGTGTGGTTCATCTTCCTGGTGATGGCAGAAAAGCACTAGTACTTTATTGTCGGCACAATTTGCATAGAACCCCTGATGAAGCCTGGATAGGGGCGGAACATGTTTGGAATGGGTGCTTAGGGATGTATTGGTAAGCGGGAGGGAAAAGAGAGATTTGATAGAAGAATGTAAATAGAGATAAAAGTAAAGGAATTACAATGGTCAATGGAGTTGTAAAAAGAAAATGAGGTGCCTCCCTCTAAAATGGAATAGGTGCTAAAGGAAAGAGGAGAAAAAGTGGTGAATTCATTAAAAAGATTTTAAATAAAGGTAAAATGTTATAAAACTCTAAGGGAGGATGCACAAGTACTGTAAGAAAAGTGTAGTTTGAGAAACTCCACTCATTCCAAAATCAAACAAAATTTTAATTCAATCTCTGATGGCAATATAAAATGTTCTGACCAGATCTGCCAGTGTATGGCCTGGCTTTAATCTCCTCATACAGAAAGGCTTCTGCACAGTAAGAGCTGTAAAATTGTCAGATAACCAGCTCAGTTAAAGTGACATTAAACCCTCAGATTTTTTAACATAAAACAATACTGTAATGTGATTACTGTAATCCATGGTAGTTTCCCTTCTCTTTGCTGCTCTTCCTTTTAAATCCGTATCTCTTCTCATGCTGGGCAGAAGTTCTGTTTTGCAGCAGACTGCCTTGTCTCAGGAATGGATACATGGTGTCTGTGTGTAGGTTTGTATAGGCTTGTAACCTGAGCCAGCACTACAGGAAGAGGCCCTGAGCTGCAAAGGGAAGTTCTCCCCAAGCATGAGAAGATATGAGGATTTAAAAGGAAGAGCAGCAAAGAGAAGGCAAACTACCATGGATTACAGTAAGGCGCACATTACAGTATTGGTTTATGTTAAAAAATCTGAGGGTTTAATGTCACTTTAACTGAAAAAATCTGGATGCATTCCCAAATGCACAGAATATACATGAATATGAACATTTATAATGAACAACAGCAGAGGTGTTTGATTCGGGGAACATCTGATTGCCTTCGGGGATCAGGAAGGATGTTGGAGACCGTGCTTTATAAGTGTAATCCATTCCTTTGGGTGAGCTGCAATCAGTGTAGGGTTATTTTCATGGAGGCTTTTTATTTATATATTGATGATCTTGGTTTTTTTTCTATTAGTTGAACTCGCTGTGTTTTCCAGCCTATGTAACAATGTATCACACTAGGATCACAATCAGAATTATTGTTACATTCTATATCACTGACAATTATTATTATATTGCATCACTCTGGAATCTGGAATCTCTATTAGTATTGTTACATTGCATGACTCTGGAATCTCTGATAGAATAGTTGTTACATTGTATCATGGGGGGGGGGGACTCTCTATTGGTATTGT